GTCTTTAAAAGAGAAGCCTTATAATCTCCTTGTTGAGTCCAGTCTTCCAGGTGTCTAGTGATTAAATATGAACAAGCATTTAATATTGACACCATGTGTTTCTGCTACAACACGAAGAGTGAACAACATATTATATTTACCTGTGACCATCAGAGTAACTCCAGGAGAACCACAGTGTTTCGCCTCATTGTTGGTTGTCCAGATAAGGACCAGATATTCTGCTGAGTCGCTCCTCTTCAGGTTTTTTAATCTGAGGATGTTTTGTTTCTTCATGTCATCATATTCCATATAACGCCCATGCAGATATTCCAGCTTGCCGTTTATATTTGTTCTAAACCAAAGTGTTGACTTGGTACCAGGATGTGAAAGTTCATTTGAGATGGTGACTGAAGATCCCTCCAAAGCACAGATTCTTCTGTTGAAGCAATTCAGACTCCAGCAGTTGTTGTCCTCAGTTGTACCTGAAATATACATAAAAGCAACTGAAATTAATTGCGAAACCTACTTTAAATAACAATGAAACTAATATTTCTGTGTGTTAGACATAAATGTTGTAAATGTCAAGCATGTTTGCCTTACACATCCTTTTCTCACCAAATAACACTAAAATTAAATTTAATTGCCATTTGCAGACCATTAACATAAATGTCTGGTTTCATGAGTAAACTGACAATGAGTTGGTTCATACTCACAGACGTCAGCAGAGCGAAGATCCTCAAAACCTTTTATAACACAAGAGAAGCCGGCGTTGGCTGCATCAGTGCTGGTAACTACAATCTGTTGGTCCACATACCCTCTCTGTATTTCTCTGTTCTTATACCACCTAAATGAAGTCAGAGGGGCAGTCAGAGGACAGCTGGTGCTACAGGTCAGTCTGAGATGATCTGCTGCATCTGCAGGACTCATTTGAACACGTATTCCTGTTGGGAGATGATAAACACATTTTTAATATGATGCTTCTCTGTTTTAATACATCAACCTGATGCATTATTGAATTTTACCTTTCAAACACTTGTCAGTCCACAAAGACAGATGGTGACAAATTCAAGGAAGCAGCAACATAAAGTGTCTTATCAGGATGTTGAGCCAGAGAATAAAAGCAGAGCAGCTTTAGCGCTACTTGGAATTGATTCTTCGTGTCTCTGAACTCTACTGGAGAGATACAACACCAGTCTTCCAGAAGGTGTTCTGTTGGTGCTCTGATGAAGGTGGTGGTGAACACTGTCTAACATGCTGCTCCAGAATCTTCCATAAGTGTTCAGATGTGCTTAGATCTGGTGACCATGAAGGCCACAGAAACCATTCAGTGACTCATGTACCAACATGCTGTGGATGGGGGCCAGTGTCACCCTGGAAGAGATCACTTCCATCAGGGTAGAAAATTTTCATCACAGGATAAAGCTGATTGCCCTGAAGAGCTTGGTATTGATTTGCAGTGACTTTTCCCTTTAAGGGGACAAATGGATCCAAACCATGTCAGCAAAATCCCCCCACAGCATTACAGAACCACCAGATCCCCTCACTGAAGGCTTTTCCTTTCATTTGACCCTCGTCTTTATGTAGAACTGTACACAGTCTCAACACAGAATCAGTGATCTACTGTAAATAAATAACTTTACAGAGATCAGAGGTGAGGTGGTGGGATGTGTGTAAATGAAGAACCTTCACCTCTGGGATATGTGATGGAGCAGGGCTCATTCAGTGACGTCTGTTTATACGAACACATCCTCCCTTTAGCGTAGGTCACACTGAAGCAGGTCGCTGTGACAGAATCTGCACAGAAACAAGTTGGATTCAGGATTTGGATCGTTGAAGTTAAGAAAGGTCTGCAAAAAGAGTTTGTCTTCAACATGTTAAATCTGAGGTGTTTTTTATTGTCACTCACCCACTGAGACTTGAGGAGCTCTGAGGTCCTCGTAGCCTTTGACAGCACAGGAGTATCTGACTGCTTCCTCACTGCTGACCAGCTCTTGGTACCAGGGAGACCAGTCCTCATAGACAAACTCTCCGTTCTTGTACCAGATGTAGACTGCAGGGTTTTCAGTCAGAGGACAGCTGATGCTGCACATCAGAGTTACTGTCTGTCCCTCTGTGGAGGGAATCACCTTCACCTGCAGGTCTGAGACCACAGTCATTATAAATAACATGAACTCACTGATTGTTCTTAAAGTCATCAATTCATACATTTGTGATCATCACTGTACCTGCAACACTTAAAGCAATTCGACTTTTCTTGCAGTTGTCTGATCTTTCAGTAGTTTTTCCGCAGCAGTAATAACCTTTATCACTGTCTGTTAGGTTGTTGATCGTCAGAGTGAAGTTATTCTCTTCTGAGATGCTGTACTTTCCATGACTTCCATCTGCAGAGGACTCAATCCTGGATAATTCCCAGTATCCAGTGAACCATTTCATGTCTGAAGTGGGACGTTCAGCTGAGCAGGTCAGATTCACTGATGAACCTTTCAAAGCACAGATGCTGCTTTCTTGTCCCTGAACCCCTTTAACACCAGATTTCATGAACAAACATCAAGACAGAATTACAGTTTCCACAACATTCTTCTCTATACTGATCAGTTCATGATAAAGTCTGATACTGTGAAGGATCAGACTCTGGTACTTTCATACAGATCAGGAGCTCACAGCAGCAGAACAAGTGGAACTCTTGTGACCTTAAATTAAATCTAAATCTGTCAAATCTTAACTCCTATATTACATCTTAATCACATTTTGTCTAACACAGAGAGGAAAAGCGATCAAACATACCTGAGATGTACAGAATGAAAGCCAGAACCAAACATGCAGCTTCTGCCAAGAACATGACTGTTGTAGACTTCAGCTTCAAATCAGGAAGTTGATGGATTCTTTTAAAGACCTTATTACAGCTGCTGCTTTGATGAAACCTGCTACAAAATACCCAAACATTAATAAATGGTCCAAATAAACAGCCGTCTTCTTACAGAGGAAAGAGTCTGTATGTGTGACAGAGAAACAGAGTCTGTTTTAACACCGTAACACCATTTCCTTCCTCAAGGTTATTTTGAGACAAGTTAGACCTCTAGTGAAGAATCTGAGTAGTGAGGGGATCATTTGATGTCATGATGAATTTCTTTTCTCTCTGTATATTTTGTCAGCATTCTTAGTCTTGTTCTGTTTCATCCTTTGTGTGTTTGTGACAGTAAATAGTTTTCTTGGTTAAAAAGTTGCTATAGTTGTCTGAATGAGAGCAGAGACATGTGAAGCTGTCAGTGGCCAGTTTGTGGTGCAGAAAAAAAAAAAAGAAAAAAAATTCTGTGAAGAGAAACCTTCAGACATGAATGCTGTGAGTGGGCGGGACGCTAGTCAGTGGTTAGAACTGTGGCCTCACAGCAACAAGGTGATGGTTCCAATGTGGGCCTGGGGTCTTTCTGCGTGGAGTCTCCATGTTCTCCCCGTGCAGTGTGGGTTCTCTCCGGGTTCTCTGACTTTCTCCCACAGTCCAGAAACATGTTGAGGTTAATTGGTGATTGTAAATTGTCTGTAGGTGTGAATGTGCTTGTTTATCTCTCTGTGTAGCTCTGAGATAGTCCTGTCCAGGATGGACCCTGTGACCCTCCAGAGGATTCAGCAGTTTATAGATTATAGATGGATGCTTGAACAATAGTTTACTTACACTTGTAAAGACCCTGTATATCATGACAGTCTTGTGTTTCCAGTGACTTCATATCTGAATTTACTACGATGGAATCACTGAAACTCATGCATCATGTCATTTCTACTGAATCAAATCCACTCATCTTCAGTTGGATATTATCTCAAATAAACAACTAAAAAATTTAGTTTTCTGAAAATCTACAACAGTGGAGTTACCTGTTTTTGCAAATGAACTGTCACGGTTTGGCAAACAAAGGCTCAAGTGCAGACAAAAGACTCGACCACAAGAACGTTGAATCAATGAAACACAATTTATAGCAAACAAAGATTTAAAAAGACAAACTAAAGTTCCAAATGGACCGGTGAAATAGGGTACGACTAACAAATACTTACTACTAGAAATATTACCAAACGCCCTCTCAAGGACGACGAACTATACTGACAAATTAATACAAAAACTTACTACAATGAACACACACCTATAAATAACAATAAATAACAACTACTGGTTGAGACGACGAGAGATAAGGTTTATTATAATACGAGAAACTAGTGAGGGGGAGCCGGAGGTGGACCAGGTGACTTCAGCAGAGGGACACAGAGGACATGGAGGGCTGGAGCCAGAACAATCCAACGGTGAGGATTCAGGAACGAAGAGTGGATCACAGGCTGGCAGCGAACGTGGTGAAACTGAAGCACAGGAGAACAGGGTCAGAAGAGGAATCAGGGTACAAGCAGAGCATCCAAACAAGAGCAAAACTAACGTGGGTTTTACAACAATCCAGCATCGACTTGTGGCTTGCTGGCGTCTTAAATACTGAATGTAGGTCTGAAGAGTGAATGGCAAACCACACCTCGCCACAGCTGGAGCAATCGGCTCACTGCAACTCACAACACCTGGTCACTTGTTCCTCAGGCTTGTTGCACAAGAAAAGGAGCGATACCACAATTAATCCACTAGGTGGAGCCAAAGAAAGAGGTCATGTCATGAACTCTTTGTATAGATAGTGTTTTGTATTTGAATAGTGTGTGTGTGTGTGTGTGTGTGTGTGTGTGTGTGTGTGTGTGTGTGTGTGTGTGTGTG